CTAAGCTTTCCAGAACAGTGGGCATAGGTCAGAGGAGTTAGGGGTTGTCATGGAAAGAAAGCTTTTGAGAAAGACCTGTGCCCAAATGCTGGGCCTTCCTTCCCACTGCTTCATTGGGAGTGAAACTGTTCTTGGACATGTGTTTTATTAAGCAAAGCTTGACTCAGTACAGAGTTTGACAGCACTGTGACTGGAGGGATGGGAAATGGTTTTTCTGGAGGGAAAACCTATTGATGCACCTTTCACTTGTCTGCCTGGCCTGGCTCTTCCTCCCTCCTTCCTGATCCTGGGGTGGTCTCTGAGCAGTGGCAGTGAGATGGGAGAACACAGAGGACCTGGTGTTGTCAAGATCCTGATGCAGAAATTACCAGTAGGGGGCAGCCCAGCATGCTCCTTACTCTTCTGGTTCATGTGGAGAGGCTCTGGGGCAGGGAGCCCAAGGCTTTTAGATTTTGTCTCTTGGATGGTCCAGGAACTAGAGCTTAAGCCCAGGTGTATTTGTCCACTGAGTAACTGAGAGCCCTGGAGTTCGGCTTCCCTGCAGTCCTTTCACTTCCATGTCCTTCTCTGTCTTTTTCCCTCCCTCCCTTCTTCCCTTTCTTCACTCTTCATAAATTTTTAAAATTCCCCCAAATACAATGACATAACACATAACAATAACTTTATGTACTTATATTCAGAAATGACACTTTAACATTTTGGTCTTTTTTTGTTACAAGTCTTTCTTCCTTTAAAAAATAAATAATTTAGTAGTTTAATAAAATAAATACTTTAACGGTTTGTTTCTTAATCCCAGACCCATTCTTCTTTCCCAAGGCAATCTTACTTGCAATCTTTTTATACTTTACATATATACTTGATTATGAAGATTATGTGATTGTTTTTTATGTATTAAAAAAAAATAAGATAAACAAAAACTCATAGATGCAGACAGCAGTATGGTGGTTACCAGGGGGAAGGGGCGTAGGGGCAGGTAGAAGTGGGTAAAGGGGGTCAAATACATGTGACAGAAGGAGATTTGACTTTGGGTGGTGAGCACACAATGCACTATACAGATGATGTATTGTAGAATTGTACACTTGAAACCTATGTAACTTTATTAATCAGTGTCACCCCAATACATTTAATAAAAACTTTTTTAAAGTCTGCATAAATTATTTTATGTTATATGTATATATTATTATGCAATTCAGCTTATTGTTTTTCTCATTTAACGTGAAGACCCCTTTCTGCTCAAATATAAAGATCTGGTTCAATCCAACTTATGTATTTAACACATCTTACTTTTTTGTTTCTTTTTTAAAAATTAGGTTTGTTAAGGTAAAATTGGTAAATAACATTATATACATTTCAGGAGTACGTTATAATTGATATCTGTATGTTCTAGTGTGTGCACCACCCAAATCTAGTTTCCTTCTGTTACCATATATTTGACCCCTTTTACTCAATTCGCCTTCTCCCACCCCCTTTCCCTGTGGTAACCAGCATTCTGTGGTCTGTATCTATGAGTTTGATTTTGTTTGTTTTGTTTTGTTTGTTTTTTTTTATTCCACATATGAGTTAAATCCTAAGGTTTTTGTCCTTTCCTGTCTGATTATTCCATGTAGCATAATGTCCTAAACATCCACCCTGTTATTGCAAATGGCAGTATTTCATCTTTTTTTATGGCTCAGTAGTTTCTTTATTGATGGACACTTGGGCTGTTTCCAACTTTTGATTCTGACCATAAATACAATGAATATTCTTGTATGTGTCTCCTTTGGTGCATGTGTGAGAATTTCTCTTGGGTGAATACCTGGAAATGGAGTTGCTGGGCCATGAAGTGTGCCAATTTATAATTTTCCAGGATACTGGCAAATTGCTCTTCAAAGTGGTTATACCAATTTACACTCCCTTCTACAATGTAAGAGACATCTTCATATTCCTAGAAATGTTTTATATCGTCAATCTTTAAGCATTTTGTCACTCTAGTGTGGGACAAATAGTATGGCATTATTTAATTTGCATTTCAAGGTCCTTGTGGGGTGAGCAGTTTTTCATATGTTTCTTGGCCATTGAGTTTTCCCTTTGTGAGTTGTCTGTTATTAACTTCACTGGCTTCCTTTCTAGTCCTGCGATGCCTCAATGGTAGCGAAGGAGAGTTCCTTATGGGGTAGACTTCATGACCATTTTATAACCAGCAACTATCTTGAGGGCATCTCTGCACATGGTACCTTATGAAGGGGAATTTCTGGCATCTGGAGGACATTTGCTGACCTTTAAATCCAGTTCTTCTGTTGATTTTTCCATTTCGAGCGGGAGAAAAATTCATTATTTATCTAGGAAATTCCTGTCTCTGCAGTGGAAGAGTATTCTCTAGTGATCATTTTTTCATAATTTCATATGGTTCTTTTGATGGTTTTCTACAAAATCACTTGTCTAGTCTTAGATCCAAGAACCATTATGCTTTGCTTGATATCTGACTTATTTTCCTCTCATAAACACTATGGATTTACCACTGACCAAATTTATTTCCTATGCATTCTTTTCTTGGGTGTTGCTGACTAGAAAGCCTAGAAATAAGATTGTGGTTTTTTTTTTCTTCTAACAAGTATACACATTTTGAAACCCAGTTCCTAGCTCCATTGATGTCTCTGCCCTGGCTTTTCTTTCTTCTACGACTTCCATTTTTATTTGTGCTAGCTCATTATATTTTATTGAGTACAACTAGGGAGTTTCTGAATTAAAAATCTGGTGAAAAGTGAAATGAAAAAAATAAAGGGCATAAATAACTAGAAGATAAATGCTCTGTGCCACAGTTCACTAAGGACCTGTTGAGTGTCAGGCCCCTGTCATAAGCATGGAGAATATAGTGATGTCCAAGCAGAGTCAATGTTTTCAGAACACGGAGTCCCCACACCAACTCAGCTGTAAGGAGTGGTCTGGCTTCTCTGAAAGTCCTGATTGTGACCCAAATGAAACCTTACAGTATTTACCTTTTTTTTTTTTTTTACTGTAGTTGCATGAAAAAAACATTAAAATTTAGGGCTCTCTGGAATCCAGCTCTTATTGGGAGATAATTTAGAAGGAGAAGGTTACTGTGGTCTCTATTGAAAATGTTAGTGGAATGAAAATCTTGGAAACAGCTATCTAATGTGTGATAATTTTGAAGCATTTCGTAAAAACCCTTGATGTTGAAAATTGTTGTTTGAGCATTAGGTTGGAGTCTTAAAATGTTTCCTTCTGTGTGTGATAGAAAGAGATAAGAGAATAAATCCTTCCTGCACATCTGTTGAGTGCAGGCCCTGAGTACCAGGGAGAACCAAGACTTTCAGTGGAAGATGCCTTTCTACCTTGGAGGTTGCATTTTTATGTAACAGGGGACAATGTTCATGAAAGCCCTTTTATTTCTCTTTGGTGTAATTTTGTTCCCTCAGAATATTTTACTTATTTTATTTCTAAAATTTGTTTCCTAAAAATGAGTGCCCCAACTCTCATCATAAATCTTTGTTTTGTTTTTTGGATTCGGTAGAAAGGACCTACAGATGCTGTGTCTTCTTCTCCCTAGTTGGTTACATTTAATTTTTTATTTCATTTTCACTCATGTTGGTAACAGCAGGGTTATATATTTGTTTTCAATGTCTTCATTGGAATGTTACGTATCTTAGTGAAAAAGAAAGGGAAAATGTGACCTAGCACAACTTTGGAACTCCAAGTGTTGCCCGTCCGTCCGTCTGTTCATCCATCCATTCATCCATCTACCCATCCAGCCTTCATCTGTTGAATATCTACCTTGTGCAAGGTGCTTTGCTAGATGCTGTGGTGCATATTAAAACAGAATCCAGCTGTCTCCAAAGAGGTTGTGATCTAAGGAAAATGGATAGACAGGTTCTCAAATAAGTATCACAAGGAAATTCCCTGGAGACAATTTTAACAGCTTTGTGTTTATATGACTAGGTTTGTATTCTTGGTTGCAGGTGACAGAAATTCAGAACAAACTTCAGTTAGTGACGACTAACATTGGAGATGGCTAGATTCAAAGGCTCAAGTGGCATTTTTGGTATTGCCTCTCTTTGTATCTCCTACCTCTCTTTTCTTCTCTGTGCTGACTTTATTCTTGGAAAGTCTCTTTCCTTGTGGCAGAAAAATTTCCCATGGAAGCCCCAGCCCTGTGTAACTTATCAGCTATGATCCCAGAGAAGAAGAAGAGAGAGAGAGACTGTCCCAGCATTCATCTGTTTAATTTTAGGGAAGATCTTCATTGGTCTAGTTGAGGTTACATGCCTAACTCTAAGCCAATCATCATGTTCAAGGGAATGGAATTCTCTGTCCAGCCAGAGTCACCAGTTTATTCATACCTTTGAGGGTTTTGGGGGGTGGAGGTAGAGGAGGGTTCCTACAGAGAATTCACTAGGGCCATGTGGGTTTGTGAAATGTGTTTCCTGAAAGGAAAAATTGGTATTATTACTGACAAAGGCAGAAAGAGGGATGCTGGGCCAGGAAAAGAGCAAGTGGGGAGGAAGGGAGGGAGGGAGAGGGAGAAAAGGGGAGGGGAATCTGCTTCTGTTTTTCAGGAGGTAAGAGGAGTGATTGCTTCTCTTGGAATGTGAGGAAAGATGTGATTTGTCTTGTGTGTGATGCTGCCAGCATCCCTGTGGCTATAGGCATAAGGGTGAAACGCCTTTGAGAGACAGTGAACGCATTTCTTAGTTATTTTCACCTCTATGCACAGGGGATACCATAAAAGGGGAGGCAGACTGAAACTGTTAGTTGCAAGAGTGATAAAAATTAAGAAAAATGAAGCCTGGTGAACCTGTTGTTGACCACGACACCCGCTCAATCTTTGTTTCTTCTCAATCACACTTACTTTTACTCCCCTAGCTGTTTTTTTTTTTAAATGGTGGGGTTAGGTAAGGTGGGGAAAGATCCCCTTGAGCACCCTGGTGAGGTTGTGTGGACATTACCCATTCTTTTATGTACTATGTTCTGAGTCAGTGGTTTTCACTCTGCTTTTTTTGCAGTTACATTGCAAATCAAAAAAGGTTAGAAATAATCAACGAAGATGATGTTGAAGCTTACGTGGGACTGAAAAATCTGTGAGTACTCAGGACTTGTGTACTTCATCTCAGAACTTCTTATGCTCTATTCATCAGTCAGTTCTAACATGCGTGCAATTATGTATTTCCATAGGACAATTGTGGATTCTGGATTAAAATTTGTGGCTCATAAAGCATTTCTGAAAAACAGCAACTTACAGCACATGTAAGTAAAGATTGTTTTCTCCCCAGGACCCAGTTTATTCAATATTTTTCTCCTCTCTGTTTATTTTCCTTCTTTTCCACTCTACCCCCCTCCTTTTAAAAGTTAGTATAGCCGTGACAATAGCTTAGAAACATTATCTTTGACTTCTGAATAGCTTCAGAGGGATATTAGAACAGCCTGTTTATTCTCTTTCATGAATTTCTGGGCCATTTCCATCTTGGACGGAACAATAGCCCATCGGCAAGAGTCTACTTTGAAAACTCTGTTCTGGTACAACGTCCTTGACTCTTTTCCTTGGAATCATGACGTTCCCTGGAAGACATTAAACCAGTGGAATTGAAAGAGACAGACTTGGCGATCGCCTTTTCAGGGAACTAAAAATTACTAATGCCTTGCCTCCACAATAGAACCTCTTTTGAACTTTCATTTTTAAAAAGCTATCTGCCATGATTGACAGAAGTGGAAAAAGTCAATCAAAAGTCAATCATGGGACATTCCAAAGGTTCAGACAATTATTAACAATAGCAAATGCTACCCCTGCTGTCATGTTGACTCTTTGTCAGCTGAAGTCAAATGTAAATAAATAGGGACAATGGGGGCTCTTAAGTTGTTGGCTGCTAAATCCTGTTAGATGACAACACTTAGTCCATAAGTTATGGCCTTCCTAAAAGATTTTGTCATTAAACAGAAAATCACCTACTCCTAAGCTCAGATTGGTGTCCCCATGCCCTGATTTTCTGTTGGAGGAATGTTGCCAGCATTCATTGGCCCTTTTTAAAAAATACGTTTTGATTGATTTTTTAGAGAGAGGAAGGGAGAGGGAGAGAAACATTGATCTGAGAGAGACACATCAATTGGCTGCCTCCTACACACTCCCTACTGGAGATCAAGCCTGCTACCGGGGCATGTGCCCTGACCTGGAATCAAACTGGTGACCTTTTGGTGCATGCAACGAAGCTCAACCAACTGAGCCACATCGGTCAGGGCCATTGGCCCTTTTGCGCTTTGCAAATTCTTTGCAACAATGCTTTATGTGTCTCATAGTCACTTGTATTATCTCACTTGATTTTTCTAACAATTGGTAGGGAAGATCATTTTTATTCCCATTTCATGGGCAGAAAATCAGAATGAGGAAAGATGTAGGACTTCTTCAGGTTCACAGATCAATTTGACAGACTTATGACTGCAGGGCTGACTCCTGGCCGTGTTCTTCCCATAAGAGTACAAGAAATAAAATCTGTGCTATCCCTAAGATTCGAGGATCAGTCATTCTTGTAACATTTGGCCTTTATTTTCTTGGGGAGACTAGTTCTCCAACTGATTTTCATGCCGGTAATAAAAGAAATCATTGTCTTAGAGCCTGGGCTCTCTATGGAAATTTGTTGATATTATGAAAAAACCTTAATTTCATGAAGCCAGTATGTTGACTTCATATTTTATAGGTAACGTTAATGATGGAGTCAATTTAAAAATAAAGTCTGTGGAATTAAGATAAAGCATTTGGCAAAAATGTGACAAAACTCCAAGGAACTTTATTAACACGTTTCATCTGAATGTTTTTTGGCATCATCTCTGCAGTTGGTTTGCCTGCACAGATCTGATGTCTGTGTAGGCCTTGGTAGCATAAACAAGGGAGAAGCTGGAAAGGAGAGAAAGGCAAAATGCTCTAATGCAGTCACTTAAATGTAATTAATGACCTCAGTAGTCAAGTTCTGGTATTTTCATTACACCTGACTTTAGACCTGAATTACTCAACAACCACATTTTACTGGCTGTTTTACCATATCACTTCCCTTAATGTGATTTTTTTTTTATATAGTGGACTATGATTAATTATAGTTTTAGTAATAGACTAATTTATTTCTTTATTGTACCTCTTATATATTCCCTACTTTCCTTGTTGCATTACTATTTTTAGTAAACCAAAGCCACCTTGTATATATTTTTTCAGGGTGCTATATGGTAGAATAATTTTAATGGCATTCTAGGTGTTGTACATAACTTATATAAAGCCAGGTATCTGACCCTATCTTCCAAAGAGGTTCCATTTGAAAATAGGAAACCAAAGGGATGAACATACCCTATATAGTTTCTTTAAAAGCCAGTACTCTGGAAGCCCAGTCATTGGGCAGACTGCAGAAACTCTACTGGTCTTTGTAGGCATGGTTACATAGTAAGGCAGAATAAAGTCAGGCCAATATTCAGGCAGTTAGGAATAAATCGTGAAATGTCAGTGAACTTCATGTATTTATGTGACGTAAGAGGCTTCTCATTAAATAAGGAAATTAAATTAAGTAGTTGGCTTTTTAGAATGGCAAGGAGGGAGGAGGGAATCAAGTCAAGTGCTTGCCTTTCTAGACCTTAGTCCCAACCTCTGCTTAAGGTCAAGGACTTGGGGCAACTGGCTTCCTCTCTTCTGATTTCCCACAAGTAAATTGTGCCCTTAACTTGAATATCAACATGATGGGTGACAGTGAGCTAGGAAAGAAATGTGCATCAGAAGCCATTTCTCAGTGTTCTTGGAAAATGCTGATTATCTCTGTTAGTTTCTCCGATAGTATAAAAATGTGCACAGGAGCACTGCACTCTGGGTTTTAAGGAAATTCAAATTGGCTCCTGTCTTTGACTTTCACCACTCCCCCTCCACCCTGCTCCTACTTACAGGCATGGGGACTCTCCAGACGGCCACTGAGTGTACTTCTTGGTGCCTTAATTCCTGCCTGGCCCCTGAGAACCCAGAGACTGTGAGAAAAGCCAGCATTTGTCTTTTCCAGGGGCTTTGCAGAGGTGCTAATTAGCTCCTTTGCAAAGTCCTATAATCAAACAGTAAGGTGATTGTTGATTTTTTCCCTCCCCTCCTCCTCCTTTCCTGGCTTTTGGCCCCAGTAATAAGTATGGTTCATAAAACTCATCTTGTTCTTTGGCGCAGAACCGGCCCTGGGCTGTGCTGCTGGCAGCCCGATAGGGCAGCTGCTCCCAGTGCCGGCTCGCTGGCTGACCTGGGAACCTTGACAAGAAGTGTCCTTTTTCTTTGCTTCTCTCTCTTGTTCTTGGAGGAAGAGCAGGTTCCCCTGCACCCCCCCTCCCCCCCCAGAATTTCTGATGAAGATGAAAATATTTGTGTTTCTAAAACTGTAGGGAAGACAGGCAGATTGACATTTCAATGTATTATTCTCCAGTGAAAGCCATTCTGAATTCACATTCCCAAAGAAAAGATTTATGAGGGCACATTTTTTAACTTCCTGGTAGAGTATTTTTTCACATGGGTGAGCACTCCACACTCAGTGTGAAAAGAGAAGGTGCCTGTGTGAAAGGAAGAGGGTTCCCTTGTGTAGGTGGGGGTTTGGGTGAGTGAAATGTCAATATAGAATAAGGCGGGGAGTGGACACACACGTTCTTGAATTATGAGGCACCAGAGTGCATTTTCTTTATTCATCGAATGGGTAGCCTTGGGGCATGCAGTAGCTCCTGGGTTGTAACCCCTTTCGGAAGGTGACTGGTCAGACATATCAAGATATTTTTAACTTTTGATTTTGTTAGGCTGATACAATGGACCAGCCTCAGGTAAGGGCCCAGGATTACTGTCACCTTCAGATCTCCCATTCTTATCTATCAGCCCAACACTCACTTTCCTGAGCAGGAAACAGATATTGAAAGGCTCATTGCAATTTATTGAGGTCTTGGATGTTTTTGTGAAAGTTGGTGTTTGTTTTACGTTCATGTTACTTATTAAACACATGTCTAGAGGCCCAATCACTGGACACTTTTTAAATAAATTCAACTAGGAAACATATTCACAGAGAGAGAGAGTTGGCTGCCAGGATTATGGCTTAGAGTTTCCCAACTCAAGGCCTCATGGCATTGATCATTGGAAACTAAAACTCCTTCCCATTGAAAAAACTATGTATTTGGAACATGTCAGTAACTTCAGTATTATTATTTTCAATCGCAGATATGACACATTTTCAATCGTTGGTCCAAATCTTAAAATGACCTGTCGCTAGCATAATTCAAGAGAAAATCTGGTATTCCCCTTGTTATCTGATATTGTTGTTGTTCTCATCATAGCATTAGCTGGTTATTTAGAAATTGTATATAAACAATCTCAGCAGAGTTTATCAGGCAATAAGTGTTTTCTTTCCTCTAAGGACACTTAAATCCAGTTTATATTCGGAGTTTTGTATGCTGCATGACTTCAAAATATTCATGATGCTCTTTAGTTTTAAAACATCTTTTCTCTCTGGTGAGTTTATGGTTTTAAATTAAATTAAATTAAATTTAATCTTTCTATTAATTGTCCAAAAGGTCAGAAATCTCTAAATGGTAAATAACTTGGCTCTGAATCAGCATATGAAAAATAAACCTTTGGGTAAAAAAGAGAGTTAAAATAGGCAATATGAAAATTATGCCCCACGCCTGCCCATATGCAAGAATTATAGAAGAGGCAGGAAAAACAGCTATCACTCCAGGTGGAAGAGAGAGATTATTGGGTCTAAGTAAGGCAAGGGCCATGATCAAATAAAATTACATTGTGAAAAAAAATCTTGCTTTGAATACTTTATTCCTGAAGTACATCATTTTAGATTCACATTTAATGTTTTTGATTTCTTTCAGCAATTTTACGCGAAATAAACTGACGAGTTTGTCTAGGAAACATTTCCGTCACCTTGACTTGTCTGAACTGTAAGTAATGATTTTGTGTTTGGGGGAAAAAATTTCAAGGAAAAAAGTAATTAAGTAGTTTTTTAAAAAATGAATGATGCAGCAGATCTATTTTTATGTCAAAATTTTCAAAAATGGTTTCTCAAGTTTTGGTTGTTTGTTTATTTTCCTCATGAAGACATGATTTAGTAATAAAAAATAGAAACCTCAATAGTAGTATATTGTTTGTGATGAGTTTAAATGTCGTTCTTACCTAAATGATTTATTTTGTAATGGAGGGAAAAATATTGAAATGCGTTGATGACTAATAGCCAGCATTTCCAAGTGTGTTCAATTTTTGTGTTATCACCACAAAGCAGATGTAAACTGTTGCCATTCCTATGGCTGACATGCCCCAAGAACCCTAATGCAGAGGCTCCGTGTAGCAGAGGTGGGCCTGGGTGCACAAGGCCTTTGAATACCAGGCAGAGCTTTTGCTTAAATTCTATGTTTCCTGAGTTGTAGGGTCTACCCCATGAACAAGGAAATTGTGCATATGAGATGTCACTGGTGGAGTGACAACGAGCTAATAGGTAGTAATGAGGGCTGCATGGTGAAAGCCTTAGTGATTGGCAATGATTTGGAATGAACTGAATTCAGGTAGTTGAAGTACTGGGTTTCTAACACAGGCGTAGACATTAACAACTTAAGGAAGAGATATGAAATCGAATAAGGTACTCTGTAAAAATTTTAAGCGTCACTGCAGAAAATTTTCTTGCTGGGTTAAAAATTAGAGCTCTGATTCCAAATTCACATGTCTCAGTATTTTCCCTACAACACATTTAATCAATTCATTCAATTCATGTTAATTGTATGCCTGTTACAAATCAAAGTTACCTGGTACTAGGCCATGGCGATAGAAGAGCCATCCCTGTGTTCCGGGATTCTGCTGTGCGGTGGGAGATGTAGAAGCCTAGCAAGTAAGCTAATAGCAACCACTGCAATAGGCATTTGCACAGTGAGCTAGAGGAAGAAGCCAGCTGTCCAGCAGCGTGTGGTCATAGGAACGTTGCTATATGTATCATTGAAGAACTCCCCGCTTCTTTATCCCCTCTACGGGTTCAACCAGACTTTCTTTTTAGAAAGATTCTTTAGTTTTTCATGTGCTCAGAATGCCAGGAAATATCTTGGATTAGTGGGACTTAAACATTGTGGGTCTCTTCTGCATTATATTCCATATCCAGTAGTGTCCAATCTTATTTTGGTGTTGGAGGGATACTTGGAGGCTATCAAGCAGACACAAATTAAAGAGCCTGCCATGACCACATTTCCCCAAAGAAACTCCCGGAAAAGTCTCTAGGGATCCCTGAGATTCTTAGAACCCAACCAGAAAACCACAGGAGTAAATGATGCTGCAAAGCCCAGGTCCCGTCCTCACAGAAATCTTAAGTATTGTGGTTAATTCCAGGCAGAGCCTATGTAACGATTTTAAATGGCCTCATTTAAAGGCTCATTACCATAAATGGAATTCATCTTAAATAGGCCACTGAGTATTATAAATAAGCATTTAAAGATTTTTCTTCTTGTGGTTTTTATTTTCCTCTTGACTACGTCCTCCTTCCCCAGTGTCAGGCCGCAGGAGTCCAGGCAGCACGGCTGAATGGTCGCTTTATCTCGGCAGACCTCCTCACAGTGGGCTGAGGGGCTCAATCTGGAGCTCAGCTGCCCTTGCCCTCTGAGCTCCTGAGCTTGGTGTGTGTGCATGTGTGTGTGTGTGTAGGCATGTGTGCACGTGCACATGCATGCTGGAGATCCAAGAGCTCCCTTCCAAATTCTCTCTCTCACATTCACTCCAGCTTTCTCGCATCAATCAAACCAAACTGTGGTTGCAGAAAGCTGTGAGTACCACCTGATTAGCTCTCACACTTCAGTCCTAGCATTGTATTTACAGTCTCATTTTAAATGAAGATGACATTGCACTGTAGTCTGAGCTTATTAAATGATAGCACTTTAGTCTCTATCCTGGCCGGAAATAAGTACGTTAGTACTCCTNTTAGCTCTCACACTTCAGTCCTAGCATTGTATTTACAGTCTCATTTTAAATGAAGATGACATTGCACTGTAGTCTGAGCTTATTAAATGATAGCACTTTAGTCTCTATCCTGGCCGGAAACTTACTGTTGGCATCTTCACTTAAGGTCTTCTTAAGAACTGTATCATGACTGTGATAAACTTGTTAGGGCACCTTATTTTTCCCCATTTTATGAGACACCCTCTTTTATCCTACATTATAGCTATTTCTGTCCCTTGTTTTCCTATTATTCTGGAAAGTCTTACATCACTTTGCATCCTTTAGTCTTTACAGTCATGTTTGCACATAGCAGAAGCTCAGTAAGTATTAGATAAATTAATGAATAGTAAGTACTTTTATGTTATGAAGGTGGGTATGACTTTCAAAGATTGCTGGCTAGAAAGAAATCATAATTTTGTGGTGCTTCATGAACACAAATATAGTTAAAATTAAAAAAGAGAAGCCTGACTGGGTTTCATTTTTGTTCCATGTAGGATCTTGGTGGGCAATCCATTCGCATGTTCCTGTGATATTATGTGGATCAAGACTCTCCAGGAGACTAAATCCAGTCCAGAAACTCAGGATTTGTATTGCCTAAATGAAAGCAGCAAGAATATCCCCCTGGCGAACCTGCAGATCCCCAATTGTGGTAATTTACTTTTAAGTCAATGAGTTATAGTTACTATTAATTATTCTAATTGCCTTGGTGTGGTAGTGAGTCTGGGAAGATTACTACTGCCCAGATTTTATACAGTGTGCTGCTAATGTCTCCAGTGAGTTGGGCAACATTGTGTGCAGTGTGAAATCAGCTGGGAGCAACATTGCCGAAAATATTTTGCAAGTAGATTATTAATTTTGAATGGATGACTAAAGTGCGCAGAGAAAAAAGTATTCACTTTATTCCTTTGTTTCTTTGTTAATTTGTTTATACATCCATCCATCCAAAAAGTATTTCCTAAGAGTATGGTACTCCACTGGCCACGTATATACTTAGTTGGCACCCAGGCCATGTAGAGGGAAGGATCTCAAAGTGACAAAGTGTCCTCGAAGCACAAGAAAATGCAGTTCAATCCAGCATATTCCCTTAAACTTGTCTTGCTGCCAGATGTCTGTGTCTCTTGATGGGGCTCCGCAGATTTGCCCTTACATGTGCTTTTCCCCATATCTGGGTTAACAATCTCCTCCTTTACTCTTGTCCCAACTCCTCTCCTCAGCATTTACACCTCCAGAATTTAAAAGGGCACCATATGATAAAATCACAGCTCTCTCTGAGGGTCAGTGTGTTTGTAGGGAAGGAGAATCCAAGGGTGCCTGTTAGGATTTTACTGCTTAGGGTTTCTGTGACATACTTCTGCAACTCACATATTTATATTATTCCTCTGTTGAAATTTTAATCAGTTAGTCAACCAGTTAATCAGTTCACAATGATGTTTGATCTTCCGGTTTAGTGGCTAGTGACTCAGCAGGAAGCCATGTAGCACCCAGTTCTTGGCCATGAGGAATCCTCATATTGACCATAAACACCCAATTCTTTATTTTAAGAGGACCCTGTTGTTTGGGCTCAGTTTTTATTTAAGGAAAATATAGGTGCTACTTTTTTTGTTGTTATTTTGTTGTTGTTGTTAAATCCTCACCTGAGGATATTTTCTCCATTAATTTTTTAGAGAGAGTAGGAGGGAGGGAGGGGATGTGAGAGAGACATATTGATTGGCTGTCTCCTGCACTCACCTTGACTTGGGGGTGGGGAGCAAACTTGCATCCGAGGTACGTGTCCTTGACTGGAATCGAACCCACAGCACTTTGGTCTGTAGGCTAACTCTCCAACCACTTAGCCATGCCAGCCAGGGCAGCTGCTAATTATTATTAATGAAAATGTAATAAAAGGAAAGATAAGTGTTCATTTATGACCCTGAAGGGGCTTAGAAGATAACAGTTACCTCCCACAGATTTTTCTGTCATAACTAGGGACCTTTGGCTTCAGAATGGGGGAATCAGGCTTGGTTCACTTTCCAACTTCCCTCAGCTTTCTTTGCTAGCCAACACTGACAAAAACAAACTTTTAAAATATATCTTTTCCTGATAAGAAGGTAACTGTTTTCTGTTCTAGTATAAATTTGCACTGCTGAGAGGATTTGCCTAGAGGTACAAGAAATGCAAAGTTGAGTCACCTGGACTCTTGGCCAGCTCCCAAATCCCCATGGCTGTTGTGACCACATTGGTTCAGCAACCACTGAGAGGAAAAAAGAGAAAGCATCTGACTCCTGCTCTGATTTTACAAACTGCCTCTTAATAATATCTGCTTTGCCCTCGCCTGAAACCAATTCTGTTTCTTTGATTTTAATTTTTGGCCATGTTGTCTCGACAGCATTCTGATAATGTAACTCACTATATATGTTGTCTATGGACCGTTGTGATCACCGTAGGGAATCCGTAGCAGTGACCTGATCAGTTTTTCAGTTTTCAATAATTTAAAAAAAATATATCTTCACTGATTTCAGAGAGAGGGCAGGAGAGGGAGAGAAACATCAATGATGAGCGAGTCATTGATTGGCTGCCCCTTGCATGCTCCCTATTGGGGACCGAGCCTGAAATCCAGGCATATGCCCTGACCAGGAATCGGACCGCAATCTCCTGGATCCTAGGTCGATGCTCAACCACTGAGCCACTCCCGGCCGGGCTCAATAATTTTTAATTTGCTTCCTACAATTAGTCAATAGTCACTGCGTTGTGTGTATGAGAGTGAGACTTTGAATCCCCTGTCAGAGAGCATGTGCTCCATTGATTGAGTAGGATTTGCTACATTCATGCTAACATTCACAGTTAATTTCAGTGTCAGCAATGCTTTTCGTAAAGCAAATTATAAAAGGAGAATTGACTTATTTTTCTGCCATTTTCATATTCTTACTTTTTTATTTTTCTGTTAATTTTTCTTTTCTTTCAAGTGCTTTTTACTTATTTATAATTGCACAAATCATATTGATATATTTCATTGTAAAAATAACTCCTATATTACACATAAAGCTTGTCTTTTTCTTGTTTGTGACCATTTCAGGTTGATAGTCATAGATCTTTCATATTCTTTTTAATCATTGCCTAGTATCTGTTGTAGAATAAATCTTAATTATATTAAATCTTCCATATTGATGGGCATTTAGCTTATTTCCCATTTTCCATGGTTACAAAAATGTTTCAACAAGCATCTGTACAGATGCAAAGGTTTTTCTAGAGGACATAGTAGGAAGCAGGTTTTTTGGTTTATTAAGGTTTGCACTTTAAAAAATTATTGTATCAATTTATAGCCATCCTAGCAAAGTATATCTTGATATTAGCAAATGCATTTTTTGTCTCTCTAAAAAATGGTATGTAATTACTTTTTAGTTGTCAAATTACTTCAAATAAAAATAAAGCCACAACAAGATATCACAAAGAAATGGCAGGTACTCAAATAAGCTTGGGAAATATAAGATCAATGGAAGTTAAATGGTTTCTTTAGAGCAAGACTTCTCAGAGCTTTTAATATGGTTATGTGTATAGTGAACAGAGTTACAGAATTTTGTATAGTTTTAAAAAAAATATTGGATTTTGTTCTTTTAACTATAGAGCATCTCAAATAATTAGATTTTTCAAAGAAAATACTACACACTTTTGGGAAAGTTTGGTGGACTATGTGATTGCTCAGGCCGCTGTCCAGTTTAAGAATAATAGCTGTAAAAAGAGAAGCTTAGTGAATAATTGTCCAACATCCGTTATCTAAACCCTTGCTAATCAAAGTGTGGCCTGTGGAACAGAGAGTTTGTTAAAAATGCTGATGCTCAGCCCCCAACCCAGACCTACTGGGAAAAAAGCAACATTTTTAATAAGATCTGCTGGTGGTTCATATGAATATTGAAGTTGGGGAAGCTCTGGTCTAAAGAAAGTCAGTCTTTTTACTAGGTGGTTTATGATTTTCTGCTGAGGTCTACAGGCTGGTATGTTTTTCCTGAACACATCCAGGTCAAGAGACATTGACATAGAGGTGTCTGTCTGCCCGGGCAGCTGACCATCTCTTATCTCCTGTGAGGTTTCTCATTGTGTAAAGGAAGACAGCTCTGAAGCTTAGATCAGGATCTCATTACAGTAGTGCTAGAAGCTGTTGGAAGCATTGCTGAGCTTTGCTCTGTTCTTGTGCCGATTTCAAATCTTATTAAGCCAGGAAGTAGTGCCTGGCAAATGGTTTACCCTGCCTTGGCTATTCATGCTTCCCAATTCATTTTTATTGTGCTAATTAAACCTCAAGTGATATTTCAAGTACAGATTGTTTTTTCCATTATTAAGTCTTTGGCCAGCATATTAATGCTGTAGAATTAACATGAGTCAGATGCTTACTCATTTGTGGAAGACTTTACATTTAAAAGATCTAGACTTAGCCAATTTTGCACAGATTCCTTTGGAAACTACTATGACAGGGTGATAAGATTTCTCTTTAAATAAAGGAGACTCACTGTTCCCTCACATATAAACATGTAATTATTTTTTTTAATGAACCAAATTCCTAGATCATGGATATGTATTAGTATTTATGGTCTCTATTAAAATGGACATATGCGGTCTGGGGAAGTAATGTAGTGTAGTTGTGAAGACCAGAAATTTGGGTTCAATTCCCAGGACAAAGATACTTGGGCAACTTGAGAAGATGTACTTGACTTTTCTAAAATTCACAGTCTTCATTAACAAAATGAGGGCAAAATACTTACTGTTAATATTGGTTGTAAGGATTAAATAAAGGCTTAAAGTATTAGAGAAGAATATCTGGTTTAGTGAATGCCCAATAAATGCTACTATTGTTACCATAATTAGGCAAATATTTTTAGAATTGTTAGTTATATAAGCTTAGGCTTGAAAAAACTATCAGATTTTTTAGGGAAAATTATGATTATGGCATAGGATTCTGTACTGAGAACCTCTCCAAGCTCCACTGGTGTTTTCTGGCTGTGGAGAAGGTCAACCTTAAGAATAAGCACCATGGCAGGCCCTGGCACCATGGTCCCTCCCGTGAGAGCAGATAATTCTATAAGTACGAAGGAGATGATGGAAGAATCAACAAAGCACACAAATTAATTGCAAGCTGGAAAGCAGCCGGATGGTAGTAACTGACTTAAAGGCTGAGAATGCTGGCTATGAAGTTGGCAGTGGGGAAAGGCAAGGGGAGGCTTGGTTTATGTTGCAGAACCACTACAAGGCTCAGGAAGGGACAGTACAGGCAATGCCAAATACAGGGGATCAGTCGAAAATCTATTGAGAAGGAGTTGATCCCATTTTTGTTCCATGCATTCCAGGTGACCACACCCCTCCCTCCTCAGCAGGTTTGAGTGTAAAATGCAGGTCATGAGCTGAGACTGTGAGAGCCATAGAAAACAATGGATTTACTTGCTAAATATTGATATTTGCAGCCTTCTTCTTTTCCCAAGGAGGACACAGAAAGAACATTGTTCGAATAATTTGACCAGTCCCTTCCCCCAAATGATTTAATAATACTGACATCAGGGAGAACCCAGTAAGGAGGCCAAGAATATTTTCCTATAGTGAAGCCAACAGTGATAGGTATGCAGTGCTTCTAATACCTCATTCTTATGGATGTGTGAAAGTCCAAGCATCACCAGCTGTTTGAGAAAATCTTATAATATAAAAGACAAACACAAAACAATCAAAGAGTGAAAGGAAAAAAAAAAGTTACGAGAAATAAGGTTGATATGGAGAGAAAAAATTAACATCATTACATCATTAACATCTCACAGACATTAGAAGGGTCATTGTATCTATGAAAGGAAAACGGGTGCTATAAAAATAGAAGACCACCCAGGATCAAAAGATGAGCCCTGGAAACTAAATACGTGAGACAGGGTAATGAGAACCTCAGAAGCAGGTTTGAAAGGTAAATCCGGGGAAATCTCCCTGTAAGTAGAATAGACAAAAATATGGAACATAGGAAAGAAAGGGTAAAAATATTTGATGGGGTATCTAGAAGATTCAACACCCAAATCCTAGGAAATCTAGGTGGTGAGAAAGCATTGCATCATAGTTCAGTTGGCATCTTTTTTTTTTTCTTTCTTAATGGTACATATCACAGTGTTGTAGCCCGTAATTAGTGTTGTCTTAAATTTGATAAAATATAACTATTACGTATGATGGTTCAGCTGTTTGTAAGGTTTATATTTTTATAATAAACTTTATATCTACCTGTAGACAGCCTAACTTCACAGCATATGTAAGGGCATGAAGACACTATGTTGAGTGTGCTATGGGCTTGTGGGGAGGGCTAGCCTTCTGTGTGAAAGTGGACCTTAATTTCCACAGCGAGAGTCAGTACATGATGTTGACACAGAAAAATAAAGTAGCCATATAAGCATGATATTTAGCAATGTAGAGATCAATGTCCAAAAAAGAACTAAAAAGTGATGAAATAAGTGCCCCTGGGGAATAGGAAATAGTGCCACATGTGTGAGGCGAGACTACTGTTCATCACAAAGTAGACTGAATGCTTTTCATAACAAGTTTTATAGAATTATAGACTCTTCAAACTATGTGACTATATACAGGGTGTCCCTCCCAAATGTATATACATTTTAACATATGATAGCTCAGTTTTGAAAATGGAATGTATTTTAATAAACACTGCCTTTATAATTCAAAATGTGTGTATACATTGTTTTGGGACACCCTATATTTTGATTTAAAATATATATGTAGTTTTAAAAAGTCACCTCGATCATACCACTGACTCCAAGGAGATTTTTCACTAAGTAAGCCCTTCTCTTATATCGTGCCTTGACAACTTCTTAATAAATTGGAAAGCTTAATTGTCCTGGAAATTGTCACCAAATATTAGAACTAGAAGAAATAGATCTAGACCTTCTAAATAAGCAGCTTAATTTTATAGACATTAAAAGAAAACACATGGAGAGAGAAAATGACTCACCCAAGGCCACATAGCAGGAGTCAGACTTAGGGTCTCGGGCTCCTGACTCCTGATCCAGTGCTCCTTTCTGTTAACTGCACAGCCACTCCATCACTCACACTCCCTTCATTGTCCTGTATAACTCAAAGTATTAGGGGTCTTTATGAAACCCCATGAAAGATACAACATTGCTCTCAATTGCATGCTGACAGGAAGGAAGAGTCCTGAAGAGGCCACACCAATCCCTGAAAGGCAGAGCTTATCTGGAAGTCCTGTGCCAGTGGTGGGAATAAATACCATGAGACATACACTGTGTAAATCTTGTTTCAGTCTGGTTTTAGTAATAAAGAATAATGGCTTTGTCATTAAGGACTGCATCATAAAGGAAGGGTGCGTACGTAATATTGTGAAGCTGATGGGTCACAGAACCCTAGGTGGGTGGGTTAATTGCAATTTAATGGCTGCTAAAGATGAATTGCCTTTTCTGACCTCTGGGTTACTCCTGAGTTAATCATGTGTCATAGTTCCGTGGGATGCAGCTGTTGGGGTGAAAGCAGTCCCAAGCAGAGTTCCTGATACCAAGCAAGGGACTTGCTTGACTGGCATGATTCCTATATGGTTAAAAGCAGTGTCAACACCTGATAGGTGTGATAGTTTAATGAAGTGACAGAAGCATCAATAAAGGAAAGCTAGCTTTTGAAATGTAAAAGTATTAAAACGATGCTCTCCTGAAATACTGAAAAATGTTTATAAGGTTCAGACTTTCATCAGATGATAAATACTTTCTCAGGGTTTTTCCACAAGTTAAAACCTTTTCATTGCAATAAGGATCCATCTAACTTTTTTCATCATATCATAAATAGGATGACTAGTTTTACCCATCATATTTACCTATGACTTATACAGCTTTGAAACATTGTAGTGCTGTGAGGGTTCAAGCTTCATGCCTTTGAAAAATGCTTTGAAGCTACATTTTCTTTCCAGAGTTTTATTCTCTTTCAAAATCAAGGTCTGATTTCAAAATCATAGTCTGACTCTTTCAAAATCTAGGCCTCGTAGTGGATTAGATTTATTAGTTACTTAATACAAAAAAAATGGATTTATGTAAAAATGTAAGTGCATCTCACTCCTTTGTTCTTGACTGTAAAAAAGTAGAGGGAAGGAGAGCTAAGGTGGCCCCCAGACACAGCGCCTGTTTATGTGCAAAAAACTAGAGTCGTCACTGTAGAACAGAAAAAGTAGTAGAAAACATAGTTTTACAAACTAGTGTTTTTTAAAAATAAAAAGTTATTCTGCAATAGTGTTTTCAAGAAATGTATAACATTTGCTTTTTAATCGTATGGCTGCATTATTTCTGGTTCACATTAAATCTGTAAAGCTTATCAACCTGGCACTTTTTCAGATCAACATAAACAAGTCTCAGGAAGTAAATAATCACTAATTTTAAAGCATAAAGAGTTTCAGTTTATTGCTGTGGTTTTGATAATACATTTACTTGTATATGTCTTCATTTACTTCTCTTGTTGCGCAGGTTTGCCGTCAGCAAACCTGGCCGCCCCTAACCTCACTGTGGAGGAAGGAAAGTCTATCACCTTATCTTGTACCGTGGAGGGCGATCCAGTTCCGAGTTTGTACTGGGATGTCGGTAATCTGGTTTCCAAACACATGGTAAGGCTCGTCTTTGGCTGTGTTCATAGGCAGACGGGAGTATCTCAGACTTGAGGTTGTAGTAACCTAGTGATGATCATTTAATATTTTATAGGGAATGAGGAATTTTTGTTGTACATTTACTTTCTATTTATTCTTTATTAACAAAGACTAATGCAGGTTTGCATTTTAGTTAAGTAAACCCAATAGACTGGAGAGAGTCTATGACTCTAGTGAGCTTTCCGTGTCATCGTGAGCAAGGTGAGTGACTCCCCTTTCCCCTTGGAGGAAGGTAGGTAGGTGGTCAAGGGTTAAATCAGTTTTACATATGAAACAATTGAAATCTGGAGAAATAGAACAACTTCTCATTTACTCCTTTGCCTGTGCTTGATTAGGCTGGAAACCTTTTCTAATGTTATCAGTTATTTTTCTCTGATTAGGGGAAGAAACCCCAAATCTTGTCACTTTGGGATCAGTCCTAACAAAGATTATCTTTGTCTGTTAATTCATTTGTAGAATGAAACAAGCCACACACAGGGCTCCTTAAGGATAACTAACATTTCATCTGATGACAGTGGAAAGCAAATCTCTTGTGTGGCAGAAAATCTTGTAGGAGAAGATCAAGATTCTGTGAACCTCACTGTGCATTGTACGTAATCAGACCAGCATGTGTTTTTAATAGCAAATGATCATGGACACACCTACATTTGTCATTGGGGCACTCTGGGTGCTGCTTAAGTGTGTTATAAAAAGTGTATGCAGTGTTCTGTGCATACTTAATTAAGAAATGCTATCAGCCTCTTTCACTTGTTCTATTTCTGCTAATCTCTTGCTCATGCGTTGTCTTTCCCTTAAGCTTTTCAACCTTAAGCCTGTCCTCTGTGCCTTCCCTTGTCAAAAGTTGATAGAACATATTTTGAACTAGTTGTCCTCCTATTATTCATAAGTTTTAGTTTAAATTCTGGTAAATCAGTTTCTAATTTTTTTTTTCTGTATGAAAGCAATATGAAGCTTTAAAGTTCTGATACCTAAAGTATAGGACTGACTGTTCACAAACACATGCTTGTGCTGTTGATACAATAAAACCTCATTAGTTTGACATCAAGTTTCCATGAGAAGGTTGGAAGTGTCCTACTTAAGTTATCGAAAATTATTATCTCCTGCAAAAATCTTTTATTATTATAACTGTTTTAAATTTTTGTATACATTGAAACTAAGAAGATATTAATACTTCTTAAGCATATGTGCATTATTTTCTAGTATTAATAAATAACATGACACATATCTTAACATTCCAGATTGTAGTGCTCAGTGTGAATGTGTATTCAGTAAAAATCACATATGCTGTTCACATCACTGCAAATCCTGAGCTGGCATGGTATAAATTAATGAGCTTTTACTCAGTATGAATTAGGATTTGGCTGAGAAAAACACAAATGTGCATGTATATATGCCCAAATCCACTGCACACATATAGACACCGGTTAACGTTCACTCATAGCAGACCTTCCATATGTGATTGTTGGGTGAATGACTGAAATCATCACCCATAATCCTTTGTCACTGGAAGTACTACCACTATGCCCAATAGGTATTAGACTCATAATTTCCCATCATTCTGACCTTCCTGGAAGCCTGAAGTCAGTGTTATCCTCAAACATATGCAACCATCTTCCAACTTTATGTCCTTAAATCAACACCTCACCCAAAACTCAGTTGAGCATGGTGGAAGGAAAAAGTGTGTCCTGGGCACGGGGGCCTAGCTGGTGGGAGGAAGGTAAGTGTGGTTCTTACCCCACTGTGGTCCTTGTGTTTATAACACAGACCTTCAAATAAGGACACACAAATTCAAAAGTTTCTCAGTTTGGGTTGATATCTATGTGGTAGCCATAATCTGAAGAATTAACCTTATCTATCAAAGTTTAGATAAAGAGTAGAAGGAATAAGTGATAAAGAATATTAACAACTGAGATGACCTGGGCAGTGACCCTGCTCAGAGTGTATTAGTGTTCAGGCTGTGATTTCCCCCTTCTTCATGTCAGGAACCTGTACAACCAGGAAGCAGTGCATGAGGGGGCAGGGCTTCTGGATTGGTCATGAGGAGACCTGGATTCCTGTTTCAGATCTGCCTCACTTAGTAACCTTGATCAAGTTACTTAACCTCATTGGACTTGGTTTTTTTCATCTGAAAAATGATGCTATTAGGTCTCAAAGGTGTTTTCCAGTTCTTGATTGTATAATTATCAAAGTCAGGCCACATTAAAATAAATAATTATGAGGGGTTTTTAATACCTTCACCTAGGATAATTACTCTGTTTAAAGATGCTACTTGATAATGTTTGTCTCCCAAAGCATAAAAGTACTTTATATTTCATGTTAAAATAATCTCTAGTTTGTCCAGGTTTAGATAAGACTTCAGATATTAGAAGGATCAAAACATTGGCATTTGAAATCCTTAAAACAACAACTGTATTATACTGAAATGTGATGCTTTTAAAGAGCATTTACTGTAGACAGTCAGTGAAATCAATCAGCATTGGTAGGAATGTTTACTGCATTGATCAGTTTTAGGTAACTTATGTAAGATTATGGCTGCAGACAACATTTCCAAAGTCATTATTTGTATTATTTAGTGAAGTACTGTAAAAATAGTGGCGCTCAATGTTCTGGTGATGAACCTATATACTATTAAGGCATATACACCAAAGTCAACTTCAGTTGAACCCTTTCCACAGTCAGAAATCTCCACGATCTGTTTGGAGTGGGTTCCCACGCTGAATAGATGCAAAAATGACTGTGATGTGTGAGTCTTCAGCAGAGCAGGGGAAGGAGTCTCTCTGAGGCTCTCTGTAGGGAGTTAAATCACCTTTGATAAGGATACAAAATATGGATGGATTCCAAGGTTGCAGGTCATATATCTTCTTTCTGGTTGAATAAAGTCCCCTATTGATGACACAGAAATCTGGAGTTGGGGAAAATTTTGAGCGTTCTGATACTATTAACTCTCTCTTTTTCAATTTAGTTGCTCCAACTATCACATTTCTCGAATCTCCAACCTCAGACCACCACTGGTGCATTCCATTCACTGTGAAAGGCAACCCCAAACCAGCGCTTCAGTGGTTCTATAACCGGGCAATACTGAATGAGTCCAAATACATCTGCACTAAAATCCATGTTACCAATCACACGGAGTACCATGGCTGCCTCCAGCTGGATAACCCCACTCACATGAACAATGGGGACTACAAGTTAGTTGCCAAGAATGAGTATGGGAAGGATGAGAAACAGATTTCTGCTCACTTCATGGGCTGGCCTGGTGATGACGGTGAGTACCTGATGCTTTTGCATCTGGAGAGAGTGTAAGGTCTACTATTTAACTGTAGGCAAAATCATGTGTACAACAAACCACCTCCCCAAACCAGTGACTTATAACAGAATTCTTTAGTCTCATCGTTTTGACCCACTTGGTCTTGCTCATTGGTCTGTAGATCAGCAGGGGCAGTTTTGTCCAATACATCTGTATTCCAGGCTGCAGGATTGAGAAGCAGCAGCTGCACAGATCTGCTTCCTATGGAGGTCAGAGTAAAAGAAGACAACTAGAAATATGCAAGGCTTCTTAAGGCCTAGATTCAGGACCGGTATGTGCTCTCTTCAGCCTAGATGCCCTTAGTCAAAGCAAGTCACAGGGCCAAAGGCAAGTCCAGGAGCAGGGACTCATTCATACTCCTTCCAAGAAGGTATTGAGGGAGATGAGTAATTTTGAACAATGATCTGATATATACATATTATTTTTATCCCAGCCGTTTAATGAGATGTTGTAACCACAATGGCACAACCCAGGCGAAATACAGCAGGAGAACTGTGTGTGGTTGGCTCTTGAATTATTTAAGATGTATTTTCTAGCCCCTTATCCATTTGGAACTCAGAATCCTACTTTCTCATCCATGGAGGAGAAACCAGTGCCTTTGAATGTTTTGTTTACCTGGACTGACGGAGTTGCGGCATCCTTTTGATAAGATCCTGAATTGTTTCTCTAGGACTGGTAATGGTTTCCATCTTACCAATGGTTTGAGTTGGGAAAAGGGTGGCTGATATCAGGAGTCCATTCTGTGGCCAGCAGCAGGATTTTAGTGTCAGCCCCAGTAACAGCAAGGACAGTCATCATGCATTTACCTGCTTCAGTTCGTGTTGTTCAGTTGAGTGTTCTTACTTGCTTAGTGGTGTTGCCCAAAGACTTGTTGCCATTGAGGCCAGGGCTTGTGTTTGGATATTGGGACCTGTACATGAATTGAATTCCTCACCATAATGGCATAAACTCCTGTGGTTCACAGGACAGCCCCAAGGACAAAGGTGATGCATACGAAGCCACCTTCAGCAAACAGTAAATGAGAATGTCATAATTCTCATTACATAATAAATGTTCCCACTATCCTGGTATTTATTACACAACTATGTAAATGCACATGTTTCTTTAGAGTGTTCAAAATGTGATTTGAATTCTATAAGTTTGATTTACAAACAACCTTCCAGGAGCCTATAAAACAAGTGATGCTTGGATGCCTTACTCAGACACCCCTGGCAGTTGTCTTTCCCATTCATTCTTCCTCTTAATTGAGTTTAGCTGCTTGGCTTCATTTGCTGCAGTAAATCTCTAGATTACTGTGTTTTTTTCCTGCATGTTTCAAGGAATACAGCTTTATAGTTAAACTCAGAGACTCTGCTTTGGGATAACTGCTTTTTGTTTGTTTTTAAGTAAACTTTTTATTTGCGAATAATTTTAGATTTTCAGAAAAGTTCCAAAAGCAGTAGAGAGAGTTCCCAGCCACCTTGTACCCAATTTTTACTATTGTTGACATCTTACATTAACACAATGGTCAAAACTAAGAAACTGACATTGGTATGTTACTGTTAACTAAGCTTCAGACTTTATTTGAATTTCTCCAACTGCTTTTTGAAACTGTTGGAGGTGAACTTTTTGCAGGGTGAAGGTCGGGCATTTAAAAGTTTTAGAAGTGATCTGTGCTCTTTGATATATGCACAGTTCTCTCTGTGGAAAGCCAGTAGCTTCTATTTTTGGTGGGGTTTTGATGTGTTTTGTTTTGAACATTTCTGTGTAGTGCCAGTGTTTGGTAGAGTTAACTCCTCTTATCTATGTGGCCTCATTTTTATCAATTATTTCTGTTAGTTTTAACTCAGCTAGTGATAGGAAAGAATTGTTTTCTGGCATAAAGATAGCTTGGAGTCTCTCAAATATCCTCTTTAAAAGAAATTTATCAAAAATAAAAATTAAGCTCAATTTTTGTAAAGATGTACTCTGCCCTTTCTTCTCCTCTTCTTGCTCATTTATTACTTTTTATCAGGTCTCTAAAATATAAATATCTGCTTTTAGAAAAGACTGATTTTGTGTTTTCTCTTTACGTATTTACTCAAGGGCCAGCCATCAAGGAGTAATAAATGAAAGTGGGAATGAAAGAGATTTGGCCCAGAGTGACAGTGGATATAAATGGCCCCCGTGGGCCATAAACCAGTGTGACCAATTAGAGCTTGACCTCACTTGGCTTATGAGATAGAATCTTTGTGGGTATTTATAAGATTTGTAGCCATAGCATACAGATAATGGCCTTGCTTAGAACTGATTCCTTTCCCTCTTCTCCCCTTTTAAAACTAAAGAAAAATAAACAAATAGCCAATATATGTAATTTATTTCCCTGCTTGTCTAAAGGTACATTCCAAGTTAAGGACAACAGGTCAAGTCTGAGTTTATATTTGTTCAGTATTTCTGCTGTCGTCATATAAGAATTGATGAAGAAGTTTAGCTTTTACGAATCTTCCTGATAAAATTTCAGCTGTATTTTCTTAGTTTTTTTGATGAGATCACCCTTTTAAAGCATTGCAAGTTTCCTGGCTGATAAGGAAGCAGGCATCCTGGGGTCACCATGAAGTGGGTTTGCATTACCACGCAGAGCCAGAAGAATTAGCATAGCAGCACTGCTGTCCTTGGAGGGTGTGTTCCTCACTTAGCTCGGATCTGAGATTTCCATGGGATGGTCACCTGGCTTAGGAATTCATTCTCTATTTGGAACTAGAAGAAATTAAAACAAATAAAAACAAAAACACAAAGTCCCTAAAACAAGTGGGTGAGCACGGAAGAAGACAGACTGATTGGACTTAGTTGCAGCCCTGATTGCCTTGATTGTGAAATGGCATGGAAATACTAGTTGTGGTGGGGAGCATTCTTCTCTCCACTTAGAGAAAGAATGAGGCATAGAGACCTCTAGCCAGCATCAGCCAGGCCACGAGGGTGCCATCCACAGGGTGAGAGGCAGGCAGTGAAGATCCCCATAGAATGTCTTTCCATAGTGCAGGGACCTTGAAGACTCCAGTGCCAGACCCAGCCAGGGTGCTCATGAGGAAGGACAGGTGGTATCAGATCTTTAGATATCAGCAGGACGCTGGCTCCCAAGCCGGTGCCTTCCCATCTGTTCATCACTGGCAACCTGGCTGGTAACTGAGAAAGGGAGGAAAGACTTTTCCAAACTCCAAACACTAGATTGATCATTTCAATCCCACCTAGAATTGAACTCATCAGCTCTGTTGAGTTTTGGGTTATGTTTAGAGCATAAAACGTAACACTTGGCTTCAGAAAGAAATGTAGAGAACACATTCTGACCAGCACAACTTGTGACAATTGAACTAATTCCATTTCAATTTTGTTTTCCATTGTTTCTTAAAATTTATTCACCAGGAGTAATCTCCTCTGATTCCTGGAACAATAGTGCCCCGTTCCATTGCATCTTAGAATCAAGTGGGGACTTTTAATTATCATCTTATCTTATTTCATTGTTGATGCACATTCCTGGGGTCTACCTCCAGCAATTTTGATTCAGTGGCTCTAGGGTGAGGCTTTGAATCTGGCATTTTGTTATTTTCAAGATCCCCAGTGACTCCAGTGTTCAATCAAATGAGAGTTGTTGGCCTGGATGAGAGCTCTGCCCCAAGTAAGATTTTCCTGCTCATTGTGGAATAACAGACAATCCTTTGGTCACTTTAGGTTGCAGACAAAATCTCAGTTGAGAAATAGCAAGTCTTGTCTGAGTTAGAAATCAAAACTCTGGACTTAGATTTAAGGGCCAGTCTCCTGTCCTCTCCTAGTTCAGGCTGGCTGCATGGGGTAGGGCTGGAGCTTGCTAGTGAGTTTTCAGCCCCTCTGCTTCCCAGGGCGGAGGGGTGGCATGGGGGACTCATGGCATGGATGTGTGTTTGCTGGTGGCTTTGTCTCTTAGGACCTGATCATGTTCAGGGCTGATTCACAGACCTTTCTCCTGGGTCCCTTTATGGGTTCTTGAGAGATTTCCCTCTCTGCAGCCCATCTTCCGCAGTTCCCCTGGCAGAAGCAAACGTTTTTATTCCAGCTGGTGGAAGCAACTCCTTCCTCAGCAGCCTGGAATGCATCTTTGTGTTGTTGGGGCCCCTCTGCTCCTCCAGGGGGCCCTGTTGCCAGGACCCAAGACTCCCCACACAGACTTTCTCCCATGCTGCTTCCCTTTGGCCCACAGGGAGCCCTTATGATCCCTTGTCCTGACACCTCCGGGTGTACAAAGTCTAACCCAAATGCCACCTGTACCTGCCACCGCAGGTTGCTTTAGCCTTCTCTGGCAGGAGTCAGGCACTTGTCCCCTGAGCTTATTGCCTGCAGGGAACAAGTTCAAGTTCTCAGAGTGGTGCTGGGGAAGCCCTATGCTGGGGTGGTAGCAGGGGCAACACTTTTTTCCCAAAGTAAGTTCTTTCTAAGTCCTTCCTCGTTTTCTCCTCTCTGGGACCTCTTCAAGTCCAGTGCGAACATGGACCTAGCTTTCAGCCATTTCCTTTGTGAATTCTGCAGTGCTGTCCTCTTGGAGGTGGGCACTGAGAGAATAGTAATGAAGGAACCCATTCCTCACCTCCTTTGTGTCTATGCTCTGTAGCCATTAGGGGGAACTTTCTGCCCAGAACTGGTTTTCTCTCAGCACTGGCCCTGTCCTCCCTTATCCGGGAGAGTGGGCTTGCCCAGGGAAGGGGACCTCGGGACTCTGCCACCTGACTACGTGAACTTTGTACACTTGGAGCTTTAAGGAGATAACCAAGTCAAAGTTTACTTCCTAGAAAGTGTGGAAATGTAAGCCCTCTCTGGTGTCTCAGCTCTTTCCCTCTCTCCTCCTATTTGGAATGGGGTCATTGGGGACAAAACACATCTGCCGCCTGTACCCCTGTTCTGTGCGGCCACTGCCAGAGAGTACCCACCCACTCTATGTTTGGGTAGTTAGCTATTTTTAGGTTTGACTTATG